AAAAAAAAAAAAAAAAAAGAAAGAAAGTCACTACTGCTGCTGTAAACATTAAAGATCTGGGTGATAAAGTAGTATACGCCCAGGAAGTGTTCATGTTCTGAGTCAAATGTAAAGCAGAACGAAGGTCCAACAACTTTAAGAGAATCTCCCAGTGGGCTGAGCATGCTGGTGGAGCATGGTTACGGTGTACAGCTGTAACCCTAGCATTCTGGGAGGCTGAAGCAGGAGGATGGAGTTGGAGCCCTGGCTGCACAATTTAGTGAGACCCTACCTCAAAATAAAAAAAGTGCTGGGGATGTTGCTCAGTGTGAAGGCCCTGGGTTCACTCTTTAGTACTGTCAAAATAAAATAAAATAAATCTCAGGCCAGGAATGTAACTGAGTGATGCAGTATTTGTCATCTGCAAATCCTTGGATTCTATTCCCATCACACTGGAAAGGGGGGGGGGGGAAAAGCTTCTTCTAGATGCTTATCATTGACCGTCCCTCATCCTCAGAGCTGAGGTGGCTATGGTACACTTAATAAAAGGCCCTGAAAACACTACAATCCAACAGATTTCTTATTTTCATCTTTCAGACTAAAGTTTTTGTGTGCATAAAATAAAAGTCTTTGCTTCACATCTATCTGAACTATATAACTGGCTAAGTTACTTAGTCTCTTTGGTCAGAGTTTCTTCTTCAGTAAACTGATGCAAATATGAGAGGTGACTCAAGGCTTGAATAAGATGATATGTATGTCTACATACTCCACAGCACATGGCAAATGGTGGACATAAGAGTAGTTCCCATGTCCTTAAAAGGACTGTTTTTTTTTTTTTTTTTTTTTTTTTTTTTTTTTTTTTTTTTTTTTTTGAGACAGGGTCTTACTGTGCAGTTCAAGATGGCCTTGAACTTTTGACAATCCCTTTGTGCTGGGGCTACCAGTATGCACCACTCTACCTGGCTGAAAGGATATTTTTGAATTAACTACTATATGCAAACAGTGATGCTGACACGTGAGGGACAAGCCACTCGGGTGCCATGCACTGGAAGAGCCTCAACATGTCTACTTCTATAAATGTCCAATAGCAAGGTCTTCCACATAGCAGAGATTCTCCTTGGTATTAGATCAAACAAGTGTAAGTGATGAATATATTTCTGCTGTAATTCATGGTTTTACTAACATTTTTATTTTATTTTGAGACAAGGTCTTGCTCTGTTGCCCAGGCTGGACTCAAAATTCATGATCTTTCCGGCTCAGCCTCTCGAGTAGCTCAAACCGCAGGAATGGGCTGCAGCACCCTGCTGTTAGCCCAGGGGCTTGAAGCTGCCACGGTATTTCAGGGGGGAGAACTGTGTGTGTAAGGCTAGTCACTGCCATTTCAATTGTGCCTCCCCAGTACCCTAACCCCAGCCTTTCTTTCATTTGACTCATCTTTAAGCTTTTTATTTTTAAAAATATTTAATAACAGCCTTTCCCCGGGGAGACAAGGGCCTTCACAGACTAAGCGCATAACAGAGTAAGCCCAAGAACCCAGTGGAAAGGCCACGGTAAAAAAGAGCTGGAGGCAGCGGGGAGCACCAGCTGCAGCTCGCACCGAGCTCTCCGGCGACTGGGCGGCGGCGGCGGCGGCAGCAGCAGCGTCTTCCTCTGAGAACTGGACCTGCTCCTTAACCTTGTAGAAGTTTGAGGATTTTGAAGAATACTTCACAGGCATCCTGACCCTTAGGAAAACATTTTCTTTGGCACTTTTGTTCTATTTAAGATGGAGACAAAGATTCACTTCTTCTGCAGAAATTTCATTTTATTTCCTAAAAGAAGAAACAGGTAGCGTGAGCTCTACTTTTGTCAACTGAGTATTATCTGAGGCTGTAGATTAACAAGCTCGCCACTGAGAACAGCCCAAGAGTTGAACTACCATCTCCGGTCCCCTGCAGGCCCACGTGTCCGAGCTCTGGTCTCTAGCCGGGCTTTATGAGCGATCTGGAACCTGTACGAGGTGCAGCCTACTGAAGTCTGGCCATGGCGACGGGCTGCGCCCTTGCCAGGAATACTGGGCCCCTGCACCTTCCTGTTCTGCCTTGAAGTAAGTGGCTTCCTCTGCCACACTGTCCTGCCATGAGGTACTGCCTTGCGATAGGTTCAAAGGCAATGCGGGCCAAATGACCATGGAACAAAACCTCTAAAATTATGAGCCAGGGGCCCAGGATATAGCACAAGCGCCCGTCTAGCAAGTGCAAGGGCCTGAGTTCAATCCCTGGTACCAAAAAGTAAAATAAAACTATGAGCTAAGGGAAACTTTGCATCTCTCTTTTTTTATGCTACGAGGGTTTGAGCTCATGACCTTTACACTGAACTATATAACCCGCCTATTTGTGTTTTGAAGCAGAGTTCTGGTAATTTTCCTAGGCTGGGCTCTAACTTACAAACCCCTTGTCCCTGATTTGATTGCTAGGTCAAACCACTAATTGGATTGGCACTGCCCTAATCTCGGTAGACTAGATACAATATACATGACAGAAAAGACTTGTGTCCCCCTTACCTGGCATGCTTTTGTGGTCTTCTGCCACCATGAACTGTTCTCTCCTCTGTAATACCCCTCTCCCAAGCCACCCTGCCTTGGAGTCAGCCACTTATGGGCCGAGACCTCCACAAATTGTGAGCTTCCCCCTTAAACTTCGAGTGTGGTGTATTCTGTCTCAGCAAAAGAGAAAAGTAACTAAAAGATAGCTATTATGAGGAAAGTCACTAGAGCCAGTCATGGAAAAACTTTTAAACTGCCAGTAGATTATTATTAGAGCTAAGAACCACTGATCTAATCTAAACCTGAGATAGAAAGATGAAATAACAGCTGAAAGCAAGGTTTGTCCATTGTTTCTCAGCCAATTAAGGACAGGACTTAAGTAGGGGCATATATTTTCAAGACAAGTATGAAGACCACAGGATATAGGTTCCCTATTTTGCACCAGGCACACTGCTGTTCTCCTCTACCACACTGAAGAACCACACTGAAAGGAACTGCAAGGTTAAAGACTTGCAAAACATCTTTTGTCTCAGAGGCCCTATAAACCAGCTGTTTTTAATCTGGAGTTCATCAGTAGGCTTGGGAGGTGTCCACAAACACCCTAAAAATACAAAATTTGTGTGTCATAAGTGTCTTTTTCTGGGAAGAGGGTTTTTATAAAATTCTGCAAGAGGTAGAATCTAGAACAGATTAATAACCATGACATGGAAATATACCAACAAAGGGATAATTCAGAGTTTTTTTTTTTTTTGCAGAACTGGGGATTGAACTCAGGCCCTATGCGCTTGCCAGGGAAACGCTTATTCTACTGAGCCTTCTCCCCAGCCCCAATTCAGAGCTCTTAATCTGAGGGAAGCACTCAGAATATGCTGATGGGCGATCTTAACCTCTGAGTCTTTTTCCTCTAAAACACGCTGAAACCAGGGTCATGATTTCAGGTCAGCTTACTTGAGGTTACAGTGCTGTCTGATTACACAGCCTTTGCTATAAGTTTGTTCCTGGAAAAGCTTTTTTTTTTTTGAAAAGCTTTTTTTAGCCACATTTAACCAATGGGATAACAAAACAACTCACCAAGACTCCGCAAAATTCTGTTCACCCCACTAGGCTCAGACTCAGGAATTGTTTCCAAATACTGGAGAGCCCGAACCTCAAACAAACCTAGGAAGAAAACTCATGTTGGTGAAACTGTTGTACACACAGGCTGGAACTTGATTATAACATTCTATTCTCATTACCAGTGCGTTATTTCTTTTCTTTCTTTCTTTCTTTTTTTTTTTTGGCAGAACCAGGGATTGAACTCAGGCCCTTGCACTTGCCAGGGAAGCGCTTATTCCACTGAGCCATCTCCCTGGCCCCCAAGTGCATTATTTCTATGGTTAAACATCACTGCAAAGTAAGTAATTCCCACAATAAACTTAGATTTTTCAGCCCTTGTAGATTTATAGCTTTTTTATTGTTTATGTTACATTTAAACCTTTCAAGCACTCATAAATAAGGAGGAGGAACTCTATCACAGGCACTGACCTTTAACTCCACTTTTGCGAAGCTCTCGGTCCTGGATGAATCCTGCGAACATCTGTGTCTCCATGAAGAGATCCAGGAAGTGGCGCACACTGCGGGAAGTGTGGGACTTACGGAACGGCTCTCTTTGGAATACGCGCTCCCCACGCTCAGTGACAGTCATGTTCAGAGAATAATGTCCCACCAGCTCCACAAAAAACCTCACAAATGCTTCAGATACCAGAGAATTGAGTGTAACATCTGTTGGCAAAATCAAAGAAATAAATAGAAAAATTCTCTAGGTTTTGCACATCTGGAGACACTGGGTCCAGTTATAGAAGTCAGACCTAAGAAATACATAGATTAAAGGACTCAAAATAAACCAGGAATGCTCATTCTTAGATTTTCTTTTTTCTTGTTTTTGTTATCTATTTAGTACAGGGTCTACAGGATCTCACTATGTAGATTGGACTCACAGTGATCCTTCTGTTTTCAGCCTCCCAAGCACTGGGATTACAGGTGCGTGCCACCACACCCAGTCTCAATCTCCCTCTCAGCGAGCCCCCGGGGCAGGGCAGGAATGGCAGGCCAGGGATTGAACCCCTGGCCCCTGTCTGCCTAAGCAGGCATTTTTTATCTGTTGAACCATCTGTCTGGCCCTTCATTCTTAGGTTTTCTACATTATTCCTGACCCAAAAAAAGAAATAGCTTAATATCCTGGCCTTCGTTTTCTCCCCACACATACTCTTATTTGATCTTTCTTTTTTTTTTTTTTTTTTGGTGGAACCAGGGATTGAACTCAGGCCCTTGATCTTGCCAGGCATGCGCTTATTCTACTGAGCCATCTCCCCGACCCCTCTTATTTAAGGGCCAGCTTAGGTATCTGTGAGTTCACCATACCTGCTCTCGCCAAGGCCACTAGGGAGAGCCTTTCAAAGTCCATCTGCTTCTCTACCTTGACCCTGCTCCACTCAGTGCTGTGCTTGTGCTCAGCACCTCACTCGTCTTAGCTCCATCCATTTATACTCACCTGATGTCCTGGCTCCTAGCCTGCCTTCACTTATGACCAAACACTTCCTTTTATCTTGCCGCTTCATCTTCTTTTTTTCTTCTTCATCTTCTTGAGCTTGGTCTTTAGACTACTTTTCTTCAACATTCCATAAAGAGCTAACTGGCCCGAGACAGAGCAGTCACGCTGGTTGTTACCGATCTTAGATGGCCAGCTCTGATATTTCACCTTCCACACTTTTAGGCCCTGCCTGACTGATCATGATTTGGCTGTCCCATTCACACATAAATGCTATTTGTCTAAAAGTCACCATATCAGGTTCTTTTGAACCACTGTGAATCAAATAAAATGCATCTTCTAAAAAACCACATCTAAAATCAAAATTACTTCGTCAATTGTCCCAATAAAGAGTTTTACAGAAAAAAAATTAGATGGCGCAGTATTTTTTTGCAGTACCGGGGACTGAACTTGGGAACTTATGCTTGCCAAGCAGGCACTTATACCATTGAGCTATCTCCCCGGTCCCAGAAAAAAAAAGCCATTATATTTTTATACTGTTCAGGTTTGGATCTGGATTGTCCTCCTAACAGTTGGCCCCCAATACAGCAGTGCTCACAGGCAGGGCTTTTGAAAGGAGATGAGATCCCAAAGGCTCTAGCTGTATCCATGGATTAATGTGCTGGCACTGTGATGGGAACTTAAGAGGGTGGGACCTAGTTGGAGTTGGTAATGGTGCATGTCCTTGAGGACTCTAGCCTGGCCCTGCCCCTTCCTCTTGTCTGTCTCTCTCTCTCTCTGTCTCACACATACACCTCTGCGTCCACCTCCTCTCTCCTCTCCCTTTTTCCTTCCCTCCCTCTCCTACCCCTTCTCCCTTGCTCTCTGCTTCTGGGCCGCCATGAGATAAGCTTTGCTTCACCACAACCTTCTGCCACCGTAGGCTAAAAAATAATGGAGTAAGCTAACCATAGACAGATATTTCTGAAACCATAAACCAAAAAAAAAAAAAAAAAAAAAGATTTCTTCCTGTAATTTATCTCAGGTATTTTCCAACAGTAACTGACAGAAAGCCAAGACACCCACAAAAATCAGTTTTCCTAGTAATTTTTGAACCCCACATTAATCATGATTATTATATAAAATACAAATTTACCAAGTACCTAAAACATACCAGGCACTACATCCAGTGAGCTTATAGACATGATTTACAAGCTTATGAGGCAGGTATTAGCACTCCCCTTTCACAGGGGAGGCAACAGGCTTCAAATGGTCAAAAGCGCTGTTTAGCTCATCCTACGCAGTGAATGCGCATGCTGGAGCCCAAGGCAGGCGACTGTTAACACCTCACTACACACCACGTACTACAGTCTATTGCTTCCCAGGTCCCAGGCTAAAATGCCAACTTCAGGTTCAACTCAAGGCTCCCATTTTCTTCCATGTCCAAATATTATTTTCCCCTTCCCCATGCTTCTGGATCTTGTCAGAGTTCCGCCACAACAGGTGTAAAATAGGGTATCCCTCACGTTGCTACTCTTGGGCTGTCCATATCCGTGTTGGGGAGGCTGATTTCTAGACCTCCTACTGATTACAGTTGGATTATAATCTAGGCTTATGTCATACATGACAGACTTCTCCGCGCCTTCTGCAGCTCAGAATGCACAGCCCATCACTGCATTTATCTCCAGCATGTTTCTGGCCCTTCCAATTGCTGCAGCAGTTTCTTAGAAGTTATATTTTTCTCTTACTTCTAAATTTAATTTCCTTTGAAAACTGTCACAGAACATGTTAGCACACATCTATAATCCCAGCACTCATGAGGCTGAGGCAGAAAGATAACTAAAAGTTCGAGGCCAGTCTGAGCGTACAAAGTGAGTTCAAGGCCAGCCTGCACTGCACAGTGAAACCCAGCTTCAAAAAGACAAAAAAAAAAGCAAAGAACACTGTGTGCTTCTTTTCAATTGTTTGTTTTTATTTTAATGCATGTACTTTACATAATCTTTTACACGTTTGAGTATGCTGGTGAAATAAACAAAAAAGCTTAGAAACAGGAATCTCAGAAGCTCCCTGTTACTCTCCTACTGTCCACTAGGGGGTGATCGTCATTTGGAATTTCGTAGTTGGTATTTTCCCGTTTTAGAGTAAAAAGTTCACTACACATGTATCCAACACTAAAACACAGTGTTGTTTGTCTATGTCTTTTGAACATTATGTAAAACTTCATATTCAACTTATTGTTTGGGCCGGCCAAATAGCTCAGCAGATTAAAGTGCCTGCAAGCAGGCCCAGGGACTGGGGGTTCAATCCCCGGGCCTGCCATGTGGGCTTTGCCCCTGGGGCGCGCTGAGACGGCAATTGAGACTGGGCATGATGGCGCGCACCTGTAAGCCCAGCTCTTGGGAGGCTGTAAACAGGCGGATCACTAGGAGTCCGATCTAGTAGTGAGACCCTGAAAACCCTGTAGACCCTTCCCTAATGTTTACAAAATAACTGGATTAGGGTTGGCCAGACAGCCTAGCTGACTAAAGTGCCTGCTTAGGCAGGTGCAGGGACTGGGGCTCTCCAGGGTGAGTTGGGATGGCAACTGAGACTGGGCGTGGTGGCATGCGCCTGTACTCCCAGCACTTGGGAGGCTGAAAACAGAAGGATCACGACCCGTCTGATCTGTGTAGTGAGACCCTGTACTAAATATAGAAAAGGAAAAGAAAAAAAAAGTAACTGGATTAATTTATTCATTTTCATCACTACTTGAGACTGGCAAACTGAAATTTGTGCCAATATGGTAGGTATAAAAATGCATTTTATGAGGGTTGTGGTTTTTTTTTTTGGCAGAACCAGGGATTGAACTCAGGCCCTTGCGCTTGCCAGGGAAGCGCTTATTCTAGAGAGCCTTCCCCCTGGCCTCCAGAGTATAATTTGGTAGAGTGTTTACTTTGGCAGAAAATGATGAAAACACGCATGCCATTAAGAAGCAGAGGGATAAGCTAACAAAGGATGGGACGTACAGCCCTCCACCTCACCACTTGGGCAAGGAGGAGCCCTGACGCTGAGCAGGGCTGCTCAGTGGCTGGAGGCTGACCTTCATGCTTTTTTTTCCACTGCAATAACTATTTACTGAAAAATAATTATGTCAAATGTATAAAAATAAAGGAATATTATGTCAAAAAAATAATAATACACAGCAAGACTTTGTCAGATTTGTTGAGAGTATCCTCATCTACTTCGTAGTTTTTTTTTTTTTTATTCCTTTTCCATGATGTCCCTTGATGAAAATAAAGTTTAAAGATTTAACATAGGCTTGAAAGGCTGAGACAGGACAATTTTGAGTTCAAGGCTAGTCTTGCCTACTCATGAATTTAAGGCTGGCTTGAGCTATATAGTAAGATCCTGTCTCACAAAAACAAACAAGATTTAACAGTCAAATTAATCAATCCTTTTCTTTACAGGCTGTGTTCTTGGGCTGTATTTTTAGGAGCTGTCATTGTTTTAAATACATTAAATATTATTCTGTTTTTTAAAAAATATCAATGCTTTGATTTTAACAAAGTTAAATTCACTAGAATTAATTTTAGGTATGGTGTGATGTATAGATCTTACCAACTTCTGTTCCAAGGGAAGGCCGACTACCTGCTGTCACTTACTGCATGACCCACCTTCCCCAGGAGATGCACCGCTAACGCAGATGATGCTGAGGCCCGACACCTGTGCACCCTCCATTCCCTCCACTGCTCCATTTGTTTCTGCACCAAAGCTGAATGCTAGTCTAGTCTTAATTAGAATGCTGGTCTTAATTACTATGACTTTCTCACAAGTCTTGATGTACAGCAGTACCAGCACTTCAGCTTGTTCATTTTCAAGGATGTCTTAGCTATTCTTAGCTAAGAATGGCTGTGTTTCTACCTAAAACTTAGAATGTGCTGAATGGCATTCCAACTCTGGATTGACTTGGTTTTATTTTGTTCTTTTGGAGACAAGAGTCTCTCCATGGAGCTCAGGCTGGTCTTGAGCTTACTATGTAGCCCAAGCTTGCCTCGAACTCAAGCTAATCTGCCTGCCTTAGCCTCCCTAGTAGTGGGATTACAGGTGTGTGCCACCATGCCGGCCCTCCAATTCTCTCCTGAATACTCTCCAATCTCAGGTTTTTCTTACCATTCCACCAAATCTGCTATGATCAGGGCCTACCAACCCTTTATATTGTCAAATTTTACTGATCAATTTTCAGTCCTTGTCTTACTTGACCCTTCTGCAATCTTTGGCATGACTGTTTACTGTGTCTTTCAGGGAATATTTTCTGCATTCCACTTTGTGATATTGTACCCTATTTTTTTTTTTTTAATGTCTCTTCCCTATACTCCTCTTTTTACATTCTCCTCCTCCACCCTTTCCTGGTTTTTCTCTAGCTGCTTGTTAGTCTTCTCTGGTAAATACTTCCCTTTTCCCCAACCTCCAAATGTTGGAAATCTAACCATCTCATGCCCAAGCAAGCCAGAACTCAATCCTTAAGCCTTTGTCAATTCCTATCTGGACTGTCCTACCAGGGTCTCACAACTTTAAAATGCAATTTCTTGAGTATCATTAGCCTAAATCCTCCCTGTGAACCTGAAATGCACATATGTAAATGCCTACTTAACATCTCCACTTGGATGTCTCCAAAATACTGGATGTCCAATTAGTGTATCTCAAACTTAAAAGCCAAAATGAAACTTTTTATCACTCCCCTACACCTGCTCCTTCTTAACTATTTCCTGTCAGTAAAGAGCCTTAGTTTTCTTATCTGTGGTGATTAAATAATACCTGCTTCAAAAGATATCACAAAGATGAAATAAAATACATGTTAAAGGTTTAGCATACTGCCTGCCACAGAGTATGAACCCAATAAATATTATTGGCCCATTTACTCAAATGCTTAGTTAGCTGGCAAATGCTGCTTAACATGCAAGAGACAAAGGAAAAAATGAAGTCACTATTTCCACGGAACTTACACTCTCCAGCACATCAGATGGTGCTGCAAGCCATGGGAAAAATGAAGCGAGGAGAGGAGGTTAGCATGTGCTGGAGCATGGGTGCGATTTTACACAGCACACTCAGGAGGAGCTCAGAGGGAAATGACAGGTGAGCATGGGCCAATAAGAAGAAGGGCTCAGAGTCAGGTGACTATCTGGAGGAACAGCATTCTATAGATGCAACGCTAAAGCCCTGAAACGGAAGACAGCCTGACATACTAAAGATCAGCCTGGAGACCAGATTACCCCGGTAAGGTTTACAGGACCCAGGAAATACAATACCACTTTGATATATCCGTAAGTAGAGTGATAGGCATCAAGTAAGTATTTACTGTCTTCAACTTAAATCCTTGGACCACTTGTCCCATACCTTGTGAAAAATTTTGTTCCTGAGACAAGATTTCATTTCGTTCTTCTAAAATCTGCATCAAGGCTGCTTGAAGTTTAGGTGGTAGAATTTCATTCTCATCAGACACCTTGAAGAAAAAACATGACATTTTGTGTGAACTCCAAGGAAGAAAGGCCCCATATGGAGTACAATCCATGATTATATATAAATATATATAATACATATACTCATAGAAATTCATATTTATATATAAATTAAAATTAAAAAAACAACTAATATGCTTTATAAAAATTTCTGGCATTTTTATATTAGACATCTCTCATGTCTTTCTGTATCTTCTAGATCATCCTCAAAAACAACCATTTCAAAAGTGATAAGCTAGCTTATTTTGAAAAGAAAAAAAAAATGGGAAAATTCCCAGAAGGAGGACAGCTGGATTGAACAGGATTTCCAGTCCTAGTTTTCTAAGAAGTCTCCACACTGATTTCCATAATGGTTTATTCTTTCTGGGATGAGATGGTATCTCAGTGTTGTTTTAATTTGCATTTCATGGATGGCTAGTGATGTGGAACATTTTTTCTTTTTCTTTTACAGTACTGGGGATTGAACTCAGAACCCTGCACTTGCTAGGCAGGTGCTTATTCTACTGAGCTATATCCCTAGCCCCATTTTTTCATGTATTTATTAGCTTCTAGTATTTCTTCCTCTGAGAAGTGTGTGTTCATCTCAGATGCCCATTTCTAGACTGGGTCTTTAAATTTGGGAGCTCTAATATTTTTTAGTTCGTCACAAATTCTAGAGAGAAGACCTTTGTCTGAGTGCTTATTAGTTAAGATTTTTTTTTTCCCAGATTTGTGGGTTGTCTTTTCACTCTGTTGGTAATTTCTTTTGATGTGCAGAAACTTCTCAACAAGAGGAGGTCCCAGTTGTTAATTCTTCCAAGTATTACCTGTGCAATTTGATTTTTGTTCGTGGACTGTTTGCCTACCCCTATGTCTTCACGATTTCCTCCTACTTTCTCTTCCAGAAGATTTAGTGTTTCTGTTTTAATGTTTAGATCTTTAATCTATTAACCATCTAGTGGAAAAGTATAATCACAAGGTATAAAAAGTAAAGCCATATTAAAATGCTGAGCTATAAAAGGCTCAAGTCAACAACTTCTGACATTGCCAGTTCTGCTGATACTATTACGGACTATTGGACTATATTGGGTTATTTTGCTGAATTTAAGCACCTACAATATTGAATGGCAATGGAACAGCTATCTCTGACAAAATAAAACAAAAAAGGGGGATATAAATGATCATTTTGTAGTGATATACATACATATATCTGTGGATATATATATATATATATCTGTATATACAAAATTTAGGATATATACAGCTACTTTTTCTTAATTCAATGAGAAGATTTGTACTAATAGTGTTTAGATAAGATATCATGTCTGCATTTTGTACTCTGAATAACTGCTTTGAAGACAATATGCCATGTATTAATTGTTGTAACTGTCCTACTAACCTGTTTTGAAACTGTCTCATTGCTATTTCTTTCTCATTAAAATTAATAAAAAAAGAAACAGAAAAAAAATATGTCTTGAGAAACAAACTTTTTCTTTCCTTTTTCCTCTCTCCATCTCTCCCTTTCTCCCTCTCCCTCTTTCACATTTCATTGTTTGTGACAAGGTCTTGCAATGTAGTCCAGTGTGGCATAAACTTCCTGCGCCATCTAGGCTGAATTTGAACCCACAATCCTCCTGCCTTAACCTCCCACCCGCTAGGATTATAGGCATAAGCCACTAATTTAGATTTCTTATTCTTTTTATACTGTATTTCTGTGCTTACAAATATGTATACAGTTTACAACCCAAGAATGCTCTGAGAAGGATTTACTAACTTATACTTTCTACTTCAATACTCAGGAGAAATAATGGCTTCTTTTTTTTTTTTAATGGCTTCTTTTTTGTTCCTACCCTATCTTATTCAAATTTCTATTACTGTATACCACTTCTACAACTTTATTTGTATGTCCCCAGCCATTTGGTTTACAAGACACTCAAGCCCTATAAGAGTGCTCAAGTTGTGCCTTATTAATCTTTAGATTCTGACTGGCTAAGAGAATATTTTTCCAAGTAATCAGTAGGAATGTTTTTCTCTCTCCCCCCACCCCCTTTTTGGTGGTACTAGGGATTAAACCCGAGTGCTCTACAATTAATCTATATTTTCAGTCCAATAAATGGTTTTCTTTCTTTTTTTTTTGGTACAGGGAGACAGGGTCTCACTATGCAGTCCTGGCTGCTCTTAAACTCACTATGTAGCTCACGCAGGCCATGAACTCCCAGCAACTCTCCTGCCTCAGCCTCCCAAGAGCTGGGATTACAGGTATGCACCACCACAATCAACTAATTTTTTAAAGGAATAAATGGTTTGTTTGGCTCATGGTTTCAGTCCACAGTGCTGGCCTGAAAGCAAGGGCATCATGGTAGGCATGGTGGGTGGGGAGCAGTTAATGGCTTTTAGACTGAACTAAACTGGAGGCTTTTATGTTAACCCATCTGGAGTCAAAGGGATGATTACTTATTTGAGCATGACATGTGTTGTTTCCTCTTCCTTCTTTGGAACAGACAGCTATAAACCTAAGCCAAATTTTTCAGGTCAATCTTGTCTGATTGGCCACAGTATCAATTCAAGTATGGGTAGGAACTAAAATTCTTACCTGAGTCATCTACGCTAAGTACTTTCACATATTTTCTGTTCAAGTATCTATAGAGAAATATAAATCCCGCACATTATGTAATTACTTCCTTTGTTACTCACCTCCTGTAAGAACTTGTCAGCACAGAGATCAACTATCAGCACCTATGGAAGACAGGAACCAGGCAGGTTCAACTAGAGACATTCACAGACAAGTACATCAGGCACCGCCAGATCAAAAGGAGTGTTCTGAGTCTTTCAGGCAACGGGAACAGTTTCAAACAAAATTAACTCAAAGTTGTAGCTCATTTAAAAGTTAACTCAGCAACATAACAAATACATTGCAAAAGAAAACTAACAGTGGCATGCACAAAAAGAAAACAATGGTATGTACATCTGTAGAGTGAAAGACACCTAAAAGGTTGCTGCAGCAGAGTAGCAGTGGAGGAACAATCTTTTCAATAGGTGGCACTGTCATAGGTGGCTAACAATAAATAAATGACCTCTAACTCACATCTCACACATACAAAAATAAAGTACTTGGTGAATTCAGAACCAAAAGCTAGCGGTAAAACAATAGAGAAGATATATTAAAAACCTTAAAGAACACCAGCAATAAAGGAAAAGACTGCCAGGTGTGGTGGTACATGCCTGTAATCCCAGCATGCAGGAGGCTGGGGTAGTAGGAGCACCAAGAGTTGAAGGCCAGCCAAGGCTACAAGTTAACTTCAAGGCCAGCCTGAACTTCACAGGGAAATTCTGTCTTGAAAAAAAGTGAGAGAGAAAGAAAGAGAGAGAGAGAGAGA